CCCCAAAACCCCAAAACCCCAAAACCCCAAAACCCCAAAACCCCGAAAGATAGTAATCAGATCAAATTGCTGGAAATTATAGATAAAATGCAATAATTATAATGCATCTTATCATTTTAGAAAAAATTATCTTAGCTTTAAATAGATGTATATCGTGTGTTTAATTTATTATCGTAAATAAGGGCTTGAAAATGATTCATTTTTTCATGAACATTTTATCATCAAGCATTTAATGTGTGTGGAAGGATATTTTTGTATGATTTGGCGAAGTGATATCCAGCTAAGAAATAATTGGGTGGGGTATTCTTAAGTTCTTGCATAAGAAGTAACATAGCTTTAGCGGATCCTTCCTCTGGCTTTAAAATAATGTCTAGAATAGTAGTCATAAGAAGGTCACTCAGCGCAGCAATATCAATATTTACTATACGGGTGACATTATCGATGAATTGAGTTGAATCGCAATGCCTATATTTTGTATTAAAGTCTAAAATTAGCTTACTCGAATTGGCCTTGGAAAAGTTGCAAGAGTTCAATACCATTGTAAATGGTTGCTGTGAACCATTCTCCAGTTGCAGGCACTTCTTTAAGATTATCTATTGTGCCAACAACCTAATCGTTAATTGCTAATTGAGTCTGGAAGCAGACTCCGAAAGTAGCATCAAGTTTGACATCAGTTGGAGCTTGAAGACCATAGGCAAAACCAAGAGGAAAAGCCATTTGAGAATTAAAATCTAGTTTATTTCCATCAAGGTAGATTTCTTCTGGGACTTCATCACTCTCAGCTCTTAGAATTGGGTGGTCAATACCAGCATTTCTAAATGCATTCTTCACATGATGTCTTACTCCGGCTAGATTAGGACCGTATCTGAAATTGTTAAGAGTCTTGACTTTCATTTCCATTCTTCTAGCAAAGCTACTTTGAGCCTATAGGAAAGTGGTTAGATATTCATTTTTGCAGATAATTATAAATAGAATTGGTCTTACTGTGACAGAAATAGTTGTGCAAGCAGCAATAACAGCCAATGTAAAAACAGATTTCATTATTTTCTTTCTTTAAGTATTAATTATATAAATTTTATAAATTGGATATTGAAGTCCAAGAATATTTAAAATACATTTAAATTGCTTATGTTATCTAATTTCTATAGAGAGTAAGATGGGGTTTTGGGGTTTTGGGGTTTTGGGGTTAATTATTTGGTTTGCATTTTATATCTAGCCTTG